CCATTCCCTCCCCACTCTGGGGCCAGCCAGAGGTGATATTTGCAGTTCTCCAAACTACTCAAAATTTCCACTACTGAATTTCACCCCTGCTGACAATCCATTCATATTCCCACACCATTTGAAGGGTGTTCATCCCAAATTGCATAACTAAAAGTCTGTAGAGATTCTCAGTCATCCGGGTCAAGGTTGTCCCAAAGGTGCTTTTTCATGAGGAAACTGGAATTTCTTGGTTTTTTTCTTTGAAGATATTTCACTTTTCATCCAAGAAGCTTCTTCACTCTGACTGGATGGTGGGGAATAGAAGGTTTCATATTACATCCTTACTTTCTATTTCAGTGCTTCTTAGCAACTTTATGATGCATGGACTTCGGCTCTCAGAATTCCCCAGCAGTGTACTTTGAAGGATAATTTATCCCAATAAAAACCTTGCCATACTCATGCCAACAATGATTCTATATGAACTTTTGCTTTAAGTCTGTTGTTGTTCAGTCACTAAATTTCTGTCTGTCTCTTTGCAACCCCATGGACCACAGTATGCCAGGAATTTTCCCAAATTCATGTTCATTGTGTCGATGAAACTATCTAACCATCTCATTCTGCGGCTCATCTCATGCGCTGCAGTGGTGCAGTGGTTAGAGTGCAGTACTGCAGACTACTTCTGCTGATCACCCGCTGCCAGCAGTTTGGCAGATCGAATCTCACCAGGCTCAAGGCTGACTCAGCCTTCCATCCTTCCGAGGTGAGTAAAATGAGGACCCAGATTGTTGGGGGCAATAGGTTGGCTCTGTAAACCGCTTAGAGGGGGCTATAATGCACTGTGAAGCGGTATATAAGTCTAAGTGCTATTGCTATTGCTATCCTCTGCCATCGCATTCTATGTTTGCTTTGCATCTTTCCCAGCATCAGGGTCTTTTCCAATGAGTCCTCTCTTCGCATTAGATGGCCAAAGTATTTAAGCTTCAACTTCAGTATTTGTCCTTCCAAGCAACAGTCAGGATTGATTTCCTTTAGGATCAACTGATTTGATTTAGACTACTGATTACATTGTATACCATCCAACACAAAAATCAGAAATGAGAAATTGAAATAATATGTTTGTTTTCAGATTTTTTTAAAAAAATGTACACGTTTGTTTTTCTACATTAGATTGCATCCATATCGTCTATTTTCTTCTATATCTTTGGGGTAAGAATGCCTTCAGCATGTTTCCATCTTAAAAATGGAATTTGTATTCAAGAAATGCAAAGGCAAAGCGGAGTGACAAACAATGCATCATTTTAGGCAGCCTTTGAAAAATGTAGATAGCTTCTGTAATTTTAAAAGATTTATTTCTCTGGCACGGCTGGCTTTTATCGAACTGCCTCTGGCTTCCCTGATAAGCAGGCAATACAAAAGGCCTTTGCAACTCTCTAAGTTCCCAAGATAGGATTCTTTTATCATCAGGAGAGAAGTTGTTCCAATTGTTAGAAAGTATTGCCAGATTCAAAATTATATACCAAAATACACTAGCCGGAGGAGGTTTCTCTTTCAAGCAAAGGGCAAAAAATGTTCAATTTCATTACTAACTATTCCTTTCAGCTCAAGAAAGACAAGCACATTTGTAAGTCAACTTGATGTTTCCTACAGTCAACAATGAAATTTTATAAAAATATACTTGGCAAAAAAAAGGTATAGTTTGGGAGCATAATTGTTCTTGCTAGTGCATCAAAACATGAGTGTCTTGCTTTTATAACAGCCTATATGTTGAGTCTAAGAATAGACTTCTTATGCCCAGTATATGACTGTGGGCCAAATAAATCATTAAATACATTTTGCATTTAATTAATCAAATTGCTTCTCTATAAACCATCACTCATGCACTTTAATTTACTTGTACAATCTTGTGAAGTGCCTATATATTTTAGTAATTTGCCCACATGTAATGCATTATTTTTCATTTTTAGCCTGTTTTTTAATGTTTTTGCTGTTTCTGTAATACGATTACATTCATATTTCTTTGCATTGTCAGTGTTTGGAGATCTACTGAATTGTTCTTTTACTAGAACTGCATGGGAGAGCATTTCCCACAACATCCATGGGTAACAGATGAGCTAAGGAACTACAGGCAAGATCACATGGCCTTCATCATTTTATCTTCCTTTGGAAAATAGGAAAAGAGCTCCTAGGGCTATGTTTTTCAATCACCTAATTCCTGAAGCAGTTGTCTTTTTGGCTTTCTGGTAGGCCTAGCCTGCTAGTGATTGATTCAAATGGTTTTCTCTTACATTTCACAGGTGAGAACTAAAGAAAGGAACATTGTAGGTGGCAGAATATCTCTTCCACCCTGAAGGTGATAGAATATCAACCAACTAGTAAAAACTCAAATAGACCCTTTAGAATCTGCTTCTGCATTCTTCGACCTGACTTTGGGGAAGTTTTCAGAATGAATTTCCTGCGAAGGCGTCTCTCAGACAGTAGTTTTGTGGCTAACTTGCCAAATGGTTACATGATGGACCTTCAGCGTCCAGATAATTCCACCAGCAACCCTGTTTCCCCAGCAACAGAGAGGAGGCAGCAGCCAATACAGCAACCAACTGCTCTTTCTTCTGGTACCAGCATATTCAACTCCATCTCCAGTGCCATGAAGCAAACCACACAAGCTGCTACAGGACTCACAGAGCCATCAGCAACACCTGTCCCTGTAGCCCAACAGAAGCCCCAAATTCTCTTGATAATTGATGACCCCCACACAGATTGGTAAGTAACCACATTTTGTTTCGTGTTTGTTTCAGCTGCAGTAACCCTGAAAGGTCTGAACTCAAATCGATTAATGCCTTGCAATGCACAACTCAGATAAATGTATTTCTTTTGCACACCACATACCATGTTCTGAATGTAGATCACAGTAGCTTAGAATATGTCTAAAATATATAATGTGAACCAGAAATAACAGGTAACTATAAATATGACAGCATGTTAAGAAAATGTACAATGTTGTTTATTTAAAAAGAAAAGTGACATTATTAACAAAATGATGATTATCTTGGAAAGGTTGCTACTTGGATTTGAAGATACATAACAAATTGCAAGGTTATTGCTATTGGTGTCTGTACTGCTTGAAATGAAACTAATTCCACCATTTATTTTACAAACAGCAGAGGAAGTTGTCTCTTGATATTTTTCATTTGAAAATTGGCCACTTTAAAAAACTAAATGAGTTTAATGCAGTTATATTTGAAGTGCCCCGTGACATCTATGAGAATGTTAGTCATTGTTATTTAAATCCTTTGTATTTAACAAGGAGTCTACTTTGTGGATATTTAAAGCTGAAACCAACATGTTGTTTATTTTATTCTTTTATCATGGTCATCTATCAAATGTTTTCTAACTGTAATTTGACTCATAGTCTGAAAACCATCAGGAGCCACAATGTTTATCTTTCTGTTTTAGGGAGAAGTAAGGAGAGATAGCCACCAGTATCTTACCAAATTTTTTTTGGTAAAAATTGTACTAATGTTGAAGTTTTCGTAGAATAGATTTGTCTGCTATCTTTTGTAAAAGAGGATACATTTGTGTGTTTTTCCCCCTTCTAACCTGTTTATGATTTTATGCTCTATGTAATTGCATTAGAAGAGCGCCAGGTGTCAGTACTTCCTCAAGTACCTTCTCATACAGGCATATGTATAGTAACTGCACATTGTGGGCTCTGCAGTCTGGTATCCCAAATAGTGTCCAATGGATTTTCAGTCCCATAAGCAAAATGAGCAAACATGATTTTCTGTTCATTGAAATGTATGACCGAGCTTTCCATGGATCATAATATCAACTTTTCATAATATTCCTGAATATATTTGCATAGATTAAAATTCAAATATTTTAAAAAGCTTTTCACATGTGACAAAAGTGAGAAACCAACAGTCCACAAGATGTGCTAAATTAAAAATTTGAAGACCCCACATCTCTTGGCCAATGGGTGAAATACAATGAATCTGGTAGATCAGAACCATCTGAAAGACGCCCAGTTTTCTTTTCCTAGCTGTGGTAGAGTTTACTTTTCAGTGAAACCGAATGTATAGCAGGTTCAGGGGTGTGTGTGTGTGTGTGTGTGTGTCTGTGTGTGTGTGTGTGTGTGTGTGTGTTACGTCAAAGTACTTGGTATGCCCAAATATGGGAGGAAGCATACTGCTTCCCTATTGCCTTTCAACAAAAGCATGGTTTTCTGCCTGGAAGGTTCCTAGGGTGGAGCTGAAAGGCAAAAGGGAAGCAGAATGCTCCCTCCCATATTTGGGCATACCAAGTACTTTGACGTAACACAC